GAGCGTCGAGAGGAAGTCCTCTGCTTCCGGTGGCCAGCGCAGCCTCCCTGTTGTAACGTGGTCAGGCTGTCAGTGAGACCAGATCGCATTCACTCACGTGCACTGCGCTTCTACAAATAAATGTGCAAATTAGAAATTAGAAAGCTATTCATCCTTTTTATTTTTACTAGTAATGATTATTTTTTAAAAAATAAAACATTCTGAATTTTCCAAGCCTGCACTCCTCAGCACCTGCACCTAAAACTTCATGCGCTGAAAACCACGCTGTGTCCTTGTCGTGCTCTGGTCGAGAGCTGGCTTTCCAGTCGGCTCGCCGGGTCTGAGCTGCTTCTTCCGCGGCTCTGCTCTCACATCTCAGTGGAGACCACGTATGGAGCTGGAGTTGTCCTTCCCGCTTCTTCTTTTTTCTTTTATAACTTAATTTCCACTTCAGACAGGGTGTTTCTTTTTTCGTTTATACATACATATCTCTCCTGATCTCTTTTTTGATCTTCAGCCTCTCCTAGTTCCTCTTTCCTCTTTCTCTTTGTAAACCAAAAAAAAAAAAAAAAAGGATCTTTTTTGATTATAGTTGAAAAACATATGGTCAGCACTTGGAACACTCACCTATCAAAGAATTTCAAAAGCATAAATTCTGAAGTAAAGCAGGTTTAAGTACAGTGTTCGTAGGAATGTTTGAACGGTCTTTCTCTCCCGTTAGGCATGCTTTTTCTAAACGTTTGAACTGACCATTTTCTATGTAATAGTAGTGTGTTGTCAGTTGGCAACAAAAAAATCGGTATTGAAACCAGGAGTGTTTTATTAAAATGAAACGAAACAGATAATAGAGTTAACAGAAGCCAGACATGAAGATATGTTTCCAAAGTTTGCTAATAAATTATCTCATTTGTTCATTTTTTATTTTTATTTTTGTTTTACAAAAACAGCCCAAACTGTGTTTTGCTTCAAGCACCAGGCTTCAAGAGAAGTACATGTTTTTTATATAATATCTATTAGTGTTTTGTTTTTGCTTAATATCCAATATTGATGATAGAATGAATATTACAAAGTAAATTATTTTCTGCATTGAAACACATGTAATAGTATTTCATTTACATATGGGTCATATAGAATTTTGTGAACTACTTTAGAAAAGCAACTTCTATTTATAACATTGAATTTTAGAGAAAACTCATTCTGAATTGGGAGCATTCTGAGACAGACGATTTGTAAGCCAAAAAAAGACTTTTACTCTGTACCATATTGAAATGTGACCCAGAAGCATCTATTTCATTTATCATCCAATAAAAGAAGAAAAGCTTTTTACTAATTAGACAAGAAAACCCTTAGTTTTGCTTTCAAATCAACCCATTGTCTTTTAGTTAGTTAGTGATGGTTGGTGATGAAAACGCCTGAGAAACTTCTAGAGAATCTTTTTAAATTTTACTGCAGAGATTTTTTTTTAAGACCAATTAAAAAATATTATTTATAAGTCTGCTGAAAACTTCAGGATTTTCCATGGTTAAGAGTAATACCAATCATGAAAGCATGACTGAAATATTTTGGAGGGGTTAAAAAACTGCCATTCATATTTACTCTTAAATGATCTTTTTACAGGTATTAGTCTCTAAGGAAAACTATCTGAAAGACATATTTTCTAGTCAAGAAGTACAAGTAAAGGATTCACTTTCCAAGAGAATTTTAATTTTATAACCTCCTGTATTAATGTTTTGGTGTGAAAATGTGTGTCCAAAGTAATCTGAGAAATATTTCATTTGTTGGGTGTTAATTGTTCTTTATGACCATTCATTTTATAAATGATCCTTTGTTTGTTGAATAATCAAAACCACATAGATGTGACTTTCCCACTTTAAACTTTGGGATGAAAGCCAACACATTCAAAGCCAAGGAGTTTATAGTGGGATCTTAAGATATTTGCTGCCATAGCTGTAATTCAGTATTCTATGAAATAATCATGCACTATTTCAAGAATAGTATGCCATATCTAAATACACACATCAAAATTTGCTAGTTACTTTTTTTTTCCTATATGAGAAATTAAGTCTATTTAATGGATATGATTCAACACTAGCTATTTTAATTTCCTTGCTTCTTGATCAAGATCTTGCTCTTTTAAGCATCATATGAAGCCATTGGTACCTAGTCTTACGGAGTAAAATAAGGTGTTTTACATGATGTGGAAAATATTATTCTGAATCCGATGAAAGATTTCTGTGCCAGTCAACACATTATTATTTTTACAAAGTTACCATCTATGGCATAAAACGTGACTACTTTTTATTTTCATTTTACTTAGTATAATTATTAGTATCGTCAATATATTTTACTCAAGTCATTTTCAGTAAGTAAGTACAGCGAGTGGATTCACCTGCCCGTTACACGTACGGCCTGTGGAATGGCATCAGCCAACTTCCTTGCAGAGATGTGAAGGTTGGTTATTCTGATGCCGTGCTGGCATATTATTTCATCAGCGTAAAAGTATTAAAAACTTGTCACAAATATAATGGAAAAATGCATTTGGGGAGCAAAGGGGGCGGGTTTATCAGATATAAGTGACTACTTGTCTGTTTCAAACAGGGCCTGTAGTAGAGTAGGTGCCCGGAAGCAGTGCAGTGAGCGCCGTGCCCTGGAGAACCGCAGTGGGGGTTTGTGCAGGCTGAGGCAAGCGTTTGATGATAAGCCATCTGCAAGATGTTGACAGAATGGCTCTGTTTGCCGTTGCCTTCTGAGTAGACTTTCAGAGCCGTTCTTTGGTTCTCTCTAAATATTTGATTCTATCTTTTTGATTGATAAATTTTCAAAACAGATTTCCTAGATTCATGCTTTTCTGCTGCATGAAAAGCAGTTCTTCGGTAAATCAAGAAAGAGGCATTGAGAGGTCCTGGTTTCTCTCTCACCTTTTGCACATACTTAGTTTTTCTTCTCCCCCCTATAGTTTTTATGGCCAACTTGAAAACTGTGGTTGGTAATTAGTAAGTTATTGAATATATTTTAAAGTCATTATAGCTCTCAGAATTTTTCAGATGTTTATTTTGAAGTTCATAGTGGAAAAATTTGTATTATATATTCTCTGTGTTTGCTTATGTAGTATTAATAATTAGATAACAGTGTTATTGGGAAACAAGGTAGTAAAAGTAACACAAACCAGATCATTGGAATTTGGGGAGAATAATTAAAATGCGTTCAGTGGGTGTTTAATTTTTTTCCTCAGGCAATAAGTCAATTTTTACTTGGTCAAGTTCAGAGACCTATTTCAAGCATTATAGAGAATGTTATATGTTTACAGTCTTTCCAGAAAGCCATATGGAAATACCTATCAAAATTAAAAAATATATATAGGCTTCGATCCCACAGTCTCACTCCTGATAATCTATCCCATAAAGTAGAAGCACTGTAAGGTTAGGTATATGCAGGTACGTTTATCGCATCATTGTGTGTAGCATCAAAACATTGGAAACGAAGCAAATGACCTTCAGTAATGGGGCGACCAGGTAAACTGCAGTACAATCGTACTCTGGGATATTAAGTGGCTATTAAAAGTGACTTAGGCCAATCGAGTAAGCCCTACAATGTAGTTTAGGGAAAGGAAGGTTTGGAGAAGTATATGTAATATAATTTTGTATTTAAAAAACACAGTGTTTCTCTGAGTTTCTATTATTATATGTAGCAACCAAACTGTAAACATTAGTCATGAGGTTTGGGAGTGGCAAGAAGGTTAAGGGGAAAAAATGAAGTGATAAGACAGGCATAGAGCCAGTTGTTTATATAAAAGTATATATGTATATATGTATGTATACATGTGTCTCTATATGAATGTTTTGAATATATGCATAAAGATATCTGTATAAAAATGTTCAACAGATCAGTGTTGGTTACCTTAGGTATTAGAATTATAGTAATGTTTTTATGTTTTTTTCCTAATTTTTCTCCCTTTGAATTTTTTTTTTTAAGAACCCCATGTCTACATAATGTGAATAAAAATAAAACTTTATGCAGTGGGGAACAAAATTTTGTGTGTTTAGCATTCATATATAAATCTCACCTTTAATGAAATGTGCTACCTACAAATATATTTCTTCATATACAAATGAAAATATTTGCAGCTTTTGGATTAGTAATTTGTATTAATATCATAAAGCTATTTCTTCTGTGTTAAATCTGTTAAACACTTATTAGTGTTAAAATTTTTTAAGTAAAACATTTCAAAATTATAGATATTTTGTTTAAAAACACATGAACATCCAGCTGAAAAAGAGAAAGACTGGTAGTTTTAACCACATAAAATGAAAAATTATCAATGGTCACCATGAATAAAAAAAAAAAGAGAGAGAGACAGTAGCAACTATTCAGGCATACTATTTTGTTTGTAATGATCAAGAAAAAATTCAGTAGCAAATGAGTAAAAAATCATAAACAAGAAAAGCCAATGATAAATATAAACTATTTGTAAACATGAAAATGTTTAACCAAAGTGGT